GAGGAGTCTGTCGCATCTGTGGCTAGCCTATTTGCCCGTGTAACTTGCCGATTGGACAGCCTTCTCGTATAATCAGCGAAGGACGTGGAGGAACTGCGAGCATTCGTTCTGATTCTCGATATGGCCGTCTACAGCTACGCCCATGCAGACCTATATTTTCATATCGCGTTAAATTGGATGTGAGCTGGTATTAAGAGGTCTTTCATTCTAGGTTTATCGTACCTGAGCAAGCTCTTTACTGCGTACTAGTCCAGATGTTCACAAAACCGGGGCATTCAAACAAGTTTTATAAATAGCTTCTATGATTTAAAATAAAGCTGTGATCACTGTGTATTAGTAGAATAGGACTTGGTGATAAGAGAATTGGCTGCGTAAATAGGATGCACGATCCATAAGGCCATTTGCATACGATTGCTGCGTTTTTGCCCGAGTCATATAATTACAATGGTATCTATCTACACAGATCGATCGTTACAGGTTTCTACTTGCCACTCTTTAGCCACGAAATAGCTTGATCACGCGCATTCAGTCAGTCGTATAATTAAAATTTACGCAGGTTTTACGAGCACAGGGATGGATTGGCCAAATCGAGCGAATCGAGGAGCTATAGCCTGCCAAAAGCTCGCGCTTACTCTCGCAAGCCCGTTCGAAACATGATTTATGAAAATACGTATATGCACACAGATAGTCGACCCGAATGTGCTGGCCGACGGCCAGAATGAGTGGCGGGTAATAGTTGTAGGCGCGCGACCATTATTGACGTATGTTCGAGGGAACCAAAAGCTCCCAATGCGATGATCCTGGGGCCTACTGCAGCCACTGCAGGCAGCTGCCTTGCCGAGCACTCGTATGGACTCCCGGCTGGGTAGGCACGTGCACGCTCGCGCATCGTGCGCCGTCGTCCAGATGGCGTTGCGCCTTCGAAACTCCGTGAAAAACCGAGGAGTTTGCCGAGGTGGGCTACTACCGAGATGCAGTAAAAGTCTAGATGCCGAAAGCAATGCACGCGTCTAACGCCAAATGCGACGTAGGAATGCGAGCCCGTGAGCTTGCAACAAGTTCCCGGCCGATAGCAATATCGGTGTTCCGCGCGTCCGTCGACCTGACCGCGCGCTGCGACGACGGCTGCGTTAATCAATGATCTCATTCGCATCGAAAACATAAATAACCGTGTGCAAAGTAGCGCGCGCACTCCAATCGGGGATTCGTGTGTCCCCGAGCGCCAGGAACGAGCGTGGACGCGTCGTTTGCCGGCCAGCTGGCTGATCGTTCGTAGCGACAATCGCGGCGGGCGATCGTCGGAGCCGCGTCGGGCCTCGCGCGCTGATTTTCAGAAGGGGCTTTTTGCTCTTGCTCGCGCCATATAGATCGAGAATGGCTTTTTGCGGGTGCGAGGCGCGGAGCGTGGCGTCGAGCGTCGGGCGTCGGGCGTCTGGCGTCGAGCGCTGGGTGCCCGTAGTTGCACCGCTCTACATTCGCGTTGCGCACACGGCGAAGGGAGATTTCGCAGCTCAAAGCGGCGAGACTCGATAGCCGAGCAAAAAGATAGCGCCGAGCATCCCGTTAAAACGTCATGTCCACTTGGTTCAGCTGGCTTGTGCTATCTTTCATTTTCTCGCTTGTCGCGCTCCTGCACTCCGAGTATTTCTCTGTGAGCATCATCATTCGGCGACTGCTCGTTGCTGGCAGTCCTACGCCGCGCGCGCGACAAAATCCCTCCCCCGAGCGCAAGCAGTCCGAGTGCGTATATTGCCGCTCTTTCTCTTCGCGCGATCTCATATACACGTACGTCAGGGAATTTGCGCGAGCTTGTACGCGCGATGGGGTGGGTGGGGGGGGGGGGGTAGGAGGATGGGTTGTGGAGAGAAAGGGGGCCGCGCAATATTCTTGGCTGGCATTGTACGTGTCCCATAAGTTGGCAGGAGCGCCACCGTTCAGCGACAGCTTGACAGAACATAAGCTTTCTTCGTAGCTCCTCTCCGTGCCGCGATTCTCTGCTTTTCGCTCGCTCGCTCGCGAGGAAGAGAGAGAGAGAGAGAGAGAGAACGCGCGAAGAACCATTTCGCCGACGTCGTCGTCACCGCCGCTCGAGCTGGCTTCTTCGCCGATCTTTTCTCTCGGCAGCTTGTAGCCTTTTGGCCTCGCGGCGACGACTGCGCGCGCCACTCACTTATTTGCTCTCTCATCGAACGCCCCCCATTGCACTGCGACCGAGTGGAAGCTAGTCTCGCGGACGCGCAGGTGGCAGGGCGCGAGGCGACCGCGGCACTCGACTCGGCCCGAGTAAAAGATAAACGGGCTCGAAGATCGGGGTTGCGAGTGGAGTAAAACTGAGTAGAAAAGTGGCGAGCCAAGCCTGGGCCACGGCGCAGAATGGTAAGCAGCGCGCCGCATGGAAAAGAGCTCGGCGAAATAGCGTTTGCGCTTTTGATTTGAGGCACGTAACCGAACCACATTGAAATCAGATACAGGCCGCTAGCACGCTAAACTGGCTTTCTTCGGCTTGCAATCCGTGCGACTGGCTGCAGTATGAGAATACGTAAAGCGCCCGAAACGAGGGAGACCGGGCTCCCCGACGCCGGAAAACTTGGGGGAGGTCACCCCGGAAAATGAGAAAAGGCGAGGATTTGCCTTAATTTGCCCTCCTGTCGCCTTCTTTTTCTCGACCCACCGCCGGCAAGAACTTACGGGGGGACGTTTTAAGAGGTCGTCCTCCGACACGCCAACAGACCAGTACGACTTGTTTATTACATTTTAAATAGCGGAAGTAATGACCGCGCGTACTCGATTTTTTTTCTTATTACTCGCCCATTTGATGAAACTCCCAACAAAAGCTCGTGCTTGCTTTTTCACTGGGTTTTTACGGCCCCCTTCCCCGCCTTCCTTTCCGTCCTCTCGCACTGTTTCCGCTCGCGTCTAACAAATCCCAGCCAGGCCTGTAAACCGACTCTTTTCGCCTCTCTCGCGAGCCGCGCGCGACACCTACTACGCTCAACCGGATACGCGGCGCAGCTGCTCTTCCGTCACGGGAATCTCCATTATCGCGATTTCGAAGGTTTCCAAAAGCGATTCATCGGCGACGTCTTCTCTGTCGCGAAATTTTTCATGTTTATCTCCGACGCGGCTGACTCGCTGAGGCACGAATTCTCAGCAGTCGCCGGTTGTTTTCAGTCAAACGGCTGCGGCGCAATTAGGCAGCTCTCGAAAATTACGAACGACGTGCTCGGCCGACGACTCCTCGGCAGAACCACGCGTCCGGCTGGTCGCGGGCGAATGGAGCTCGCGCTGCTTCTGGTAGCCGCAGGTTCGTGGGTATCCCAGAGGAGTAACGGTTGTTCGTTCGCTCCGTGGCAGCGCTAATTACTTGGTCGACTCAAGGGCACTTTTTGAATAATGATACAGGCCAATAATGGATCTGTGCGATCAATTAGTGAATGACTTTCGTGGCAATGAAGCAAGCACAAAATTATTCAGGATAATTATCCGGAAGGGTTTTGTCAGCGAGAAGCGACATCGATCGAGCGTTCGCAGGTGAGGCACAGGCGCGTGCGTAGGCGCGTGGCGAACAGTCAAGGAAGACCGGGGCGATCGCCGAGCGGACGACCGCGGCGCAAAGCGGCGCGAGACAGGCGGACGAGCGAGGCGCGGACGCACGTTCGGCGCGGCCTCGAATCAGCGCTCGTTTGTCGAATCCTTTCAATCAAGCCGCGCGCAAAAGCTCTTGTTTCGGCGCCGGCGAGGGCGGGGGGAGGCGCGGCGGGCCGAGCCGCGGCTGCCGCTGGCAAACATATTTCTCGAGGTTTATGAGCTGAGAGCGAGCCGGCGCGGTCGGAAATGGACGAGGCCGAAGCTACGACGACCACTCATCATTCCCACACGGAGATTTGGAGATTCTAAGAGCTGATTTATCTGCAGCTCGTTATTTCCCTCCGGCGCGTCTGGCTCCCTTAAAAATATTGCCCCGTGAAAATCCTCCATCTCGTTTCTCTCGCCCCCTCTCTCGGCCTCTCGCTCTCTGGTAGCAGCCACTCGAGCAATATTAAACGAATAATTGGAGCGCGCTCGCGACGCGCGAATCTGCCCCGGTCATTACTAATGCTCTTGTAATCGGCGAGTGGTCCTCCCCGTCTAGCTGCAGGTGGCGGCGCGCGGGCGCGAAAAACCGAGCGCAGGCGAGTCGATAACGCCGCCGAGCAACAATTTGCCGGCTTACGCGAGTTGTTGTCGCTGCTCGGCGCGTGGCTGCTGCTGCTGCTGCTGCTGCTGCTGCTGCTGCTGCTGCTGCTGCCTCGGCCGAGCTAAGGGCGCGCTCGCCGCCTCGTAGCGCCCCTTAACGCTCAATTTATTGGAATCAGAAATCTAATGCGAACTCGCACGCTGCCGGTATATATAACCATTAGGGTAGAGCAGCATCTCGAGCCATTTGTACTCGCGCCAGCGATTACGGAGTACGTGAGGGGCTTACAGCGCGTCCGAGTTATTACTCTAATTAGGCTGCACTTTGTTGCGTCGAGATCCACTCGCGGACATCGGATCGCCATCGACGACCACGAGTGGACGCGCGGCGAGCGCTCGAGAGCGCTGCAGCCGCCTGAGCGACAAACAGACGGGAAAAGGGAAAAAAAGCGCGTTCGCGGCGGGGAAGGCGCCGAGGCGGCCGGGGGTGAAAATAGGTGCAGGGGTGTCGAATGCACGTGGGTGGGCGCCGGATCGCGAGGACGAGGCAAAGCGCATGCGCGCCAGAGGTCGCGAGCGATGCGCGCGCTCGCGGCGACGCGACACACAAAGTAGCGAGCGAGCGAGCGAGCGAGAGAGAGAGAGAGAGAGAGAGAGAGAGAGAGAGAGAGAGAGAGAGAGAGAGAGACGAGGTCGACGAGACGACGGAGGACAACGAGGAGGAGGAAGAGGAGGAGGCGGAGGAGGAGGAGGAGGAGGAGGAGGTTGCCGGCCCGAGTCTCTCGGCTCGCGCAGGACGAGCTACGGGCGCCAGTCGGCGGAGAGCAGTCGCGTAGAGCTGGACTGTCGGGCGCACGCGGCCGGCCGCCAGGATGCAGACTCACGGCGGGCTGAGGAGCCTCGTGCTGCTGGTGGTGGTGGTGGTGCTGCTGCTGCCGCCGCCGCTGCTGCTGCGGCTCGTCGACGGTGAGTGTCGTCTGGCGAGTGACGTCGCGCCGCCCGGGCCGCTGACTGGCAGACGCCGAGCAGAGCCGCGCGTCGCAGCCACGGCAATTTAAATTCATTTGGGGCGCGAGTCTGCTGCTCGCAGTTTGTCAAGCGGCGCGCCGAGGCAGGTTGCCGCAACTTTGCTAATTATTTGCCAGCACGCGAATTAAGCTGCTCCCCGGCTCGCACGACCCGCGACCGCCGACTCGCCCGGCCCCCGCAGTCGACTCGACTCGCAGGTGGTTGCAAGCGGCACGCGATACGCGTTAAGCCTCGAGCGTTCTCAAGTGCACGCTCTATGCAGCTGCGATACAAGGCTATCGCTCGACACCTAGTGGCTACTCTCTCTCCCTCTCCAGATAAGCGTTTTATCCGCTCTCGCCCCCAGCCAATCGCATTAAATGCCCCCGCGCGCTCGCGCTCTCTTTCTCTCTCTCGCTCGAGCCGATAACCGCTGCGCTTCTTTTTATCCTTTTCTCTGTCTGTCGGTTGGCCATCGGGCGTCGCGCGCCGCCGCTTATTCTCATGATGCTCAGATCAATATTTGGCATCCGGTCGGCGACAGGGGTCCACGAGCAGCGCGACGCGATCGCCGTCCCGTGGAGCCGCTCGTTACGTAAGCGCGTCGACGGACAGGTGCAGGCAGCCGGGGTGGGGGACGCGCGAGCGAAAATGACCGCTGGCGTGGCTTTGGCGTTGGCGCGAGAAGTTTCTTTTCTCGATGGGACTGCGAGTGCACGCTGCGGGCGCACGCTCAAGTTTGAAGCGGAGAAATTTGCATGGGGCGCCCGCGCGTGAGAGAGAGAGAGAGAGAGAGAGAGAGAGAAGTGCGAAAGGGGTTTGCTTTTCTGCAGACTGGGCAGGTGGGCGGGCGGGCGGCAGAGTTGGAGCTTTGGCGTTTTGTGTGCGTGCACGAGCAGTGCGATGCAGCAAGTTAAATTAGTTCGCTAATTAATTTGAGCGAAAGGTGGGCGCCGCTTCGACTAGTGGCAATCATGCGGTTAATATCGAGCATTTATACGAGTCGAGTCGGCGAGCGGGCCGCCGGCGCGATATCTGATTATGCCCACAGCGATAGTTATCCAATCACGGGCGGCGGCGCGCGAGCGCCGAAAAGAATGAGCTTTACAGCGTCGATGACGGACGCGAGGCGTTAAACGCTTGTCAGCCGCCGGAAGCCGGGTCGCACGCGATGTCTGTCGGTCTCTCGAATCTGCTGTTCGAAAAGCCGCGGCCAATGTTGTCCGGAGAGCCAAGGAGGGAGAGAGAGACAGAGTCAAGTCCACTCGGCTGCAGCGGCGCATTCCTTCGCTCGCGTCCAGTCCTCGCTCCTTTCCTCCGACTGCAAAACACATTCTAGCAGCTCTGGCTGTCTCCGCCTCGAGTATAAATTCATTACATTCTTCCGCGAAGGGCGAGCGAGAGCGGAGAGACAGAAAAAGAGGCAGAGAAAGAGAGAGAGAGAAAGTCGCCATGTTGGCCGTTGTTCAAGTGGTCCATCCACAATGAAAAGCAATGTAGTTCTATTGCGAGAGGCGGGGAACGGATTCAAAGCTGCGCCCGAGGACGAAAGCTCTCTCTTTTTGCCCGATCGTTTCTTCGAGACGGAGCTGTGTTTGGAGCCCGGCCAGATAATCTGCGACAATAAATTCGCCCTAGCGAGTCCAGCACTTTTTCCAAGTTTTACCTGGCTGCCCGACTAATTTGATTGTTTTGCCTTTTGCGGGCAAACAGCCGAATAACAAACCTTTCCCAATGTTTTATGTAATATGCAAATGCTGACCAGGCGGCGGCTCTACTCACATCCGGCGTGAATCTGAGCTGTCAAAACACGCGCCCGGCCAATCGATCAATCACTCGATCAATCAAGCCGACGCTATTTGCCTCGCTTTTCTTTTTCTCACTTTCGCTCCTCTGGCCGCGTCTCTCGCTCTCCCTCCCTACCTCCCGCCCTCCCTGCAGTTTCGGTTGTTTCGCGCTAGAAAAAAAGTTGTCTCGCGCGCGAGCTCGCTCGGACGGCGTCGCTTTGTGCTCCGGGAAAAAGCTTATAGCGAATAAATGTGTAGTAGTGAGAAATTCGATAGCGAGATAAAGCCGTAGTGGCCGTCGTGTTCGGCGTCGGCGACGAGTAGGTGGGTAGGTGGGTAGGCGGGCAGGCGGGCAGGCGGGCAGGCTGTAGGTGGGTAGTTGGGAGGAGAAAACTATTTGAGAAATCAACCCCTGATTCGTTTACCTTGTGAGAAATCCACTTCCAGCGGAACGAGAGCGAGCCTCTGGCATTGAAACCCGGCTAGCCAGCAGGCTGCTGGCTCTTTCTTCCTTCCTATTTTCTCGCTGGCTCCACTCGCGCAAGCTCATCTTTTTATCGCGCCAACAAAGCCGCGCTGCTGCTGCTGCTGCTGCTGCTGCTGCTGCTGCCTTCTCGTCTTTCTCCTAATGCTGCCTACAAACGGAAGAATAATATTCACGGGGCCCTCTATTCACGGGCTAGTTTCGGCTTAACTCACGACTGCTTAGCATCTGGAAAGATTTGCAGAGAAAGTCAGCTTATCTTGCACGTTGTTTGGTTCGGAGTTTAGTAAGCCGCATTTGCGTAAATCGTATAGAGATTTAGCTCAAATCTGCTTACGTTAACTCGGCGAAATGGGAATAGCTGGCGAGAAAAAGGCCAGACATTAATTATTCTCCTTGTAAAATTTCGGGCGCGCGCCGCTCAACAAGTCGATAACAAGCCGTCGCGGCTATCTGCGAAAGCAAAAATAAACAGCTCGATAACCGGGCAGCCGAATAAGCGGGTCGACCGGGTCGCCTGCGTAATTCATGCGCTCGACTCGGCGCTCCGAGCTCGCCGCGGGCGCGTCCGCGAAGGCGCTCGGTCCTGATCGGCGCCGCTTGGCCGGCATCCAGTGCCGCCAAAAACCAGCGCGGCCAGACGCAACAGATGAGGCACGATTATCGATCGCCGCTCGGCCGAGGAGCCGCGAACACTTCGGGCCCCGCTCGCGCGCCCCTGACTCCGCCACTTCATTTCTCCTCGTTACTCGGGCGCGCGTCGGAGCAGCGGCCGCACAGCTCGTCGTTAGCGCCTGGCCGTTCGCCTGATGGACGACGCTGCGCGCTCGGGTAGGCTCGCCGCCTCGTATTATTTGCCAATGAGCGGCGCCGGAGCGCGACAGCCTCCGCTCGATTACTCACGCGTTAATTGTCACGTCACGAGCTGCTCTGCATTGATAACGTTCGCGTAACAAGACCAGACGAAGACTGGAAGAGCAGTAGCAGCCGGGGAGAAACAGCTGAAGGATCGGAAGGAAGGAAGGAAGGAAGAGCGAGCGGCCGACGGGGGCAGGATGGAGGAAAAAAGGTCGATAAGAGAGACTGTCGAAAGAAGCGCGCGCCGAGCAGATATTCGAGTACCACTGCAAAAATTTGTTAAAGTTCAGGCAGCGCGCAGCCGAGCACAATAAGGCTGTGGCTGTAAGGCAAGATTTTTTGAAAAGATAGCTCGTACAAAGGCGAGTATATCTGGTTTCGCGGGTAAGATGATGATGATAATGTTGATGAAGAATGAAAGTAATGGGCGCAAAGAGTGCGCGCTAAGTTAATCGGGGCTCCTTCGCGAGATAATTCAATTATACAGGAGTTAATAAGAGGAAAAGCGGCTGGTCTCTCGAGTTTGTGAGTAATAGCGCTGCAGGTGTATTATGAAAGAGGCTTAGAAGGGAAGATCGGCAGGCAGGCAGGCAGGCAGGCAGGCAGGCAGGGTAAATATTTCGAGCAAGCGCGCTCAAGCGGGCATCAATGTAACGCATACACGTGCACAGTGTGAGGAAAAAATAGCCCCGGCGTTTTTCCTTTTGCGCCGGATTCTTTGTTCAGCCTCGGTTGCGCTCTCGTTTATTGAGGGAAGAGCAGTGGCAGCGTCAGTTCAGTGACTTTCAAAAGGAGCGCTGCACCCTCTTTCTCGCTCTCCCTCTCTCCCTCGGTCTCCCCCTCTTCCACGCTCTCTCGCTCTCTCTTCCAGCCGCACATTTTCTGCGGTAGCTCCATTAAATAGTTACGCGGAAAAACGCGCAATGCTCCTGGCCGGTCAAAAAGAGAAGAGGCAATATCAAGAAAGTGCCTCTTATCCAGCGGCTCCCTCCCTCTTAGAATGCAGCCGTCGGCCGGCAGCAGCAGAATTTAAGCAAAATGTGATGCAGCCGGCCAAAACAGCCCCTCTGGCTCGGGGCTAGCAGCTCGCCTCTCGAGCACTCTTTTGAAAAGCTGCATAAGCCGATGAAAGCCGAGGGATTCTATTAAAACTGACCCTCGAGCGCTGGCAGCCGTCAATTTGTCGATCTACCTGTTTGACTCCGGCGCGCGCGACACCACGGCCGAGTGCATCGGGCGGCGCCAGTTAGCGGCGCAGCGTCCGCGAGTGCGGCCCCGACTCGGGCGGACGTCGCGCGGCGGCTGGCCACCGAGCGGAGCCAATCTCGCGACGGCGCCTCGAGATCATTGGATCGCGAGTGCGGCTCGACTTGCACTCCCTCGTACATTGGCTGTCGGTCCGTGGTGAGCGGGTGCAGCCGTACGTGTCCACCAGTTGCGGCCGAGCTGCGCCTGCCGCGCAACCCAATCATATATATCTCGATTTGGTCGTGGCCGCGCGGCGCCGACTTTCCCTCGCGGCGCGTCGCCCTGCGGAAATCGAGTTTTTATTCGATCTGCGCGCGGCGCTCGAGATCACGTCCCGGCCGGCTGATTCCGTTCTGCGGGCCGAGCCGCGATAATAGGCTGCGCCCGTTGGCAGGACGCGGCTCCAGGTGGGCGCTGAATATTAAGGCGCCGAATGCCATTAGGCAGCCGGGCGCAACTTTCGGCCGGAGATAAAGAAGAAGGCGGCCGAGCAGCGCGACGGGGCGCGCTCGTGTGCACCTGCACGGATAGAGCGGCGGCGCGGCGCGGCGCGCCGTGGCGCATTGGCGAGCCGTATTGGC